AGTGTTATCAGAATAATGGGTTACATGAATCAGCGTTCTTAAACACAATCAAGGAGTGGAGAACTAAAACGATAACTAATGGGTGCAGAAAATTACTTGGTAGGTGGCTTCAAACTGCTGGGACACGGAAGTAATGGCATCATAGGGTTTCTCAGTATAATCGGATGTATTCCTGAAGTCATGGTGCCAGAGATTTGTTTTTGAATGTTGGTGAAGTTGGTGGTAGTCCTGTAATACTCCTACTATGTTTTACTTTTTTTTTTCTTTCAGCCTAACTTTACCGACTCCTTTTGGGTCCATTAACAGCACTGCGCGGCAAACTTTAACGTGAAAATTGGTTTGTATGGCACGGTGTGGTAATGCATTTGTCGCCAAGTTTGAAATTCTAATTCCTCAGTTTTGTTAATTTGTCATACTTTCTCTTTCCTCCTCGGTTTATTTTCGTTTTGATTTCGCCATTACATCCTCTTTCTCCCTCCCTCCTCCTCTTTCACTTTTTGGCTGTGATACCGCAATAGTGATGAAGATGGTTCAAGCAGCACTAAATAAACGGATTCCATTTCAACTTAATCATCGGCTACTAGAGTGCAGGGAGGAAAAGCGAATGGGAAAAAAGGAAAGAGATCGTGGGTGAAGTGCTAAGAACAGAAAATAACGTTTCTAAAAACTTTTGCTCGTTGAATGAAATGTTTTGAACGGCTTTGATACTTCGATAGTTTCAGTTACTAAAATTTTCTGCAATTTTTATGATACAGTTTTAGTGTTTCACTTTAGAGCGTCATGACAATTGTTGCTTTTCAAAAGGATCGTAGGTAAAAAAGCAGAACACAAAAGGTCTGAATCAACGAATGTCATCTGCCGATTACGGAACTGGGCAGGAACGTTTTAAACTATTAAAAGTTGTCAAATAAATGAGAATTACAATGATTAATAATAAAGGAGCGGATGTTTGGTATTTAAAACGGAATAAATGTACCTAATTTTTGCAACAATTATTCGCATAGAAGTTTAGTCGTACCTGTGGCAAATGGTTACAGTATGTGTCAGGACGTAAAATCCCAATATGTATTATTACAAAAGAAAAAGATCTTAACAAATGTTGTTCGAGGCTTTTGTGACTGCAATGAAACAAAATTCTACGAACAAAATCTAATTCTGTCGCCGATTCTTGCTTAAGAAGGCCATATTATGTAAGAGTTTTTAAAATGAGTCAAAAACGTCCGACAAAAATTTTGTGACTGTTTATGAAACCAATGTTGTTTGTGTTTGTGTTTAGGTTTGTCTGTTTCTTTGCGCCTATTTATATGTTAAGAAAAATTGCATTTCAGAGAAATTTTGTGATTCTGAAACCAGATTTACAAATGTTGTTTAAAGGTTGGACGAGGGATTTGTATGGGTGTAACTGACAGAAATCCTTCGCCTATCCTTTGAACAGCAATCATTTTCTTCTCAAAATTATACATTGTCGATGGTCGTAATTTCATACTGTTATATCTTGGTAATTATTTTTGCTACAATACTTTTTGTTGGATAGTCGTCCGTTAAATTCTGTAACTGTTTGAACCAAAAATGGGTTCTTGTATGTTGGTAATTGGCTAGAAAAAGCCCAAACAGTTTTTGATGGAAAGGCGTTAGGAACTTCAAACTGGAAACGGAAGCACCAGACAAAGCTTTTTTTTACGGCTAAAAATTTTATGTGAAAAAAAGACTGTGGTTTAATCTGTCTGAAGTCTGTTAAAGCTTTTTTAAAAATAATCTGTTTCTTGACAAAGAACATGTTCGTTTTGTTTTTGTTGTTTTCAGTAACATTTTTATGTAAGAAAAAAAAGGAAGAAAAAATTTTTAAGTTTTTATGTTATAAAATAAATACTTGATAAGCTGTCTTCGTGCATAAAACAAAAATATTCTTGAACGCTGACAAAAGTTTAAATTGTTTTCTTTGTTTGTAAAAACCCAAAGTTTTAACGAAAACATTTGGAACTTTTTTCTTCTTAATATCTATAACTAGTAAAATTTCTAAATGCATGATACCTAAGATACCAGTTTAGCTTCTCCATTTTCTAAAGTAATTTACTTTTATTATTACCAAAGCTTAAGGTATATTTTGAACATATTAATTACAGACAATCTCTGAAACCTGTGATATAAGAAATTTTTTGTATTAATTGCTTCTTAAATCTCAGGATCTTCCTATGGCAGTCACTTTCCAAGTTTTAGAAACAATAAACCGCTTTATTAGTTCGAAATGTTACAGAGATTTGAACGTTTTAGAACGTCTTCGACAGCAATGGGAGAGGGTGTAACATACGCTTTTCATAGCCTTTTTCTTTTCAGATTAGGAAAAAAGCTTCTAATTGCTGTTAGCCAGTCTAAAAAAAAGAAAAAAAACAAGTTTCAATTGTTATTAACAACCTGTTCTTAGCGAAGATTTAAAAAAAAAAACACTGTTTCCCGGTTTAGCCTTCATAAAATTTTCTGATTACACCGTTTTCGGTTGTCTTATTTTTTAGAATTTTCCTTTTCTTTTACTTTTAAAAAAGCAGTCGCGACAATAAGTTTTAAACGTAAAACTTAAATGTAAGTGGCAAAACATCATACCTGTTCTAAGTGTTACAGTTGATAATGCTTTGTTTTACAAACGTTTACTAGTGGAAGCAAAAAAACTGCAATTTATTATATAAAACTAAATTTACAAAATATAGACTCTTCTGTTTTTCTTGCGATCCGGTCTTTTATTTTTAGTTTATTCTGCACAATAAGGTTTTAGCTACTGATTCTAAGCATTGCATTCTGAACACTATCGTACAATCCTTAATTTCAAAAGTTATTTTCTAATTCTGGGTTTGAACATTTATTTCGTGTTCGCCTTGGAATTTATTTAAACTCTTGTGGTTACGGTTTTAGGTTGCCGTTGTTCCTATTCATTCTGTAATGGCTCTAATCTGCCGTGGACGAACAACAATGAAAATCTACCTTTTTGCACTTCTTCTGCTACCGTATAAGACGTGTGACGTAAGTTAGTTTTCTTTTTTGACCAGTAATCAGCAGTTTAACCACGGGGCAAATAAATGCCGATCTGTTTACAATTTTCACAGTATAGTAAAAGAATCAACAGTTTGAAGTACATCTATTGTATCGATAAAATTTTAAGAATTAAAGGTGATTGAAAAACTTCTTTAAACGTGTGTAAAAAAATTTTTTTTTGTCTTTTTCTTGGCTGTATAGTTTATTTCAGTTTATTAAAAAGTCTTACTGCAATGTTATAATTGCAAACCAATCAGCTCTCACATTTAGTTATTTGATTATTTTTCAAAACTGTTGATAGATGTTCCGTAAAATGACGATGCACTCGGCAACGGCCTTCATTGGTATTAGTAAAGTATCTAACGAATACTTTTTTTAACTTATTTTTGGTCATTTCCAAAACCGTTTTAAATTGAATTAAAAGACAAATTTTTAGGTTGAAGTAAAATAACTTCTTCTTAGTTTCCAGTTTACAACCTGCTTCATTGAGCTTATATAACTATAGCTATTCTATCGTTTAAATCTCTACTTCTATTCTGATAAGTCAAATATGTTGTCTTTACCCTAAAAAAAACTGGAAAAAAAAGATAACTATCGATTTGTTGTAAATTTTTTTGATAAGTTTGAAATTTGGGTATTGCAAATTAATTTGAAAGATTTCAAATATTTTATCTTTGAGCAAAATCCAAGTCAGCCATTGTTTTCAGATTGTAACCATGATTTTCAATTTATATTGCTTTTTTGTCGTACAGAGACC